TCTTCACATTCATAGACTTCGTAGTCATCAGGAATGGCTGACCTCCTGACTCTTTGAGATCTTCTAGGGGCCTCGTTAGTTGACGCTTGTTCTATATGAGGTTGTTGTTGCTCTTCCTCATGTGTGACAACGGGTTCTATGGGATCCTAATTGACAGGTTCCTCATGTTCATTCATTGTTGTCACAGGAGAACTAACAACAGGCGTTGTTACTACAGTGTCATGCACTGTTGGTACCGCAACAACAGGTAGCGTGAAGAATGGTTCTAGAACCATCAGAGTGGGCATGTATACCCGCTTCTCTTCAAAATTAATTTCTCACGCTACCATGCTCCCCTTGACCATATCATTCTCTAAGAACATAGTGTGTCTCGTTTCTACAAACTTTGTATGTCTATTAGGACAATAGAAACGATAACCTTTTAACTTTTCTAGATAGTCACTGAAATGGTAACCGACTGTCTTAGAGTCTAGCTTCCCTATGTTTGGATTAAAGACTTTAGCCTCAGTTGAACAACCCCACACACGTAAATAGTTAAGTGAGGGTTCCTTCCCTGTCCACAATTCATATGGTGTTTTGGGCACCGACTTGCTTGGCACTCGATTAAGAATATGAATGGCGGTTTTTAACGCCTCCATCCATAAACTTATCGGTAGAGTAGAGTAACTTATCATACTTCTCACCATATCCATGAAGGTATTGTTGCATCTTTCAGCTACTACATTCTGCTGAGGCTCGCCCGGTGTAGAGTACTGGGCAATTATGCTATTTTCCTGTAAGAACCTTGCAAAAGGTACAATAACTTGGCCATATGGGGTGTGTCGACCGTAGTACTCTCCCCCACGGTTGAATCTTACTACTTTAATCTTTAAGTTGTGCTGATTTTCTACTTTAGCCTTAAATATCTTAAATTTATCCAATGCTTCTGATCTTTCTTTAAATAGATAAATATAGCCAAAACGAGAATAATCATCTGTGAATGTTATAAATAAATCATAACCATCCACACTCTTCACAGGAAAAGGACCACAGATGTCTGTGTGAACTATTTCTAAAATTTTTGCACTTCGTTTGGCATCTTTCTTTATTTTCTTAACATACTTTCCTTTTATGTAATCAATGCATTGTTCTAAATCTGAAAATTCTAAAGGCGGAAGAATTGATTTCTTAATCAATCGCTCTATTCTCCCCCTCGAAATATGGTCTAAATGACAGTGCCATAATTTCGATGATACATCATGAATTCTCTTTCGCTTATTTATTGCATTCATAGACGAGGAAGTATTCTCATTCTCAATGCTCACAGCATTCACATTCTCAGAAAATGGTAACAAATAAAGCTTGTCTTGTCGGAATGCAAGACCAACACACTTATTATTAAACACAATCTGACATTTTCCATTACCAAAATGGCAATCATATCCATCATTATCTAGTCGTGAAACACTTATCAAGTTTCTACGCAAAGAGGGTACATAAACAATATCTGAAAGCTAAAGTATAAAACCATCATCTAATTCTAGAGAGAGATCTCTAATGGCTTCAACTTCAGTTTCAACTCTATTTGCAACTTTAATTCTTCTTTCTCCTCTTTGCAGGGTCCTCCTCGTATGGAATCCCTGTAATAAATTTGCAACATAAATAGTTACACCTGAATCAATCCACAAAGTAGATTTTGCATAACTTAAATACAAGGACTCATCTATGAATGTAATGAAGTCCTCACCTCTCTTCAAAAGGCTTTTCAAGAAATCTGGACAGTCCCTCTGATAATGTCCATGCTTGTTGCACCATTTGCACTGATCCTTTTCAACTTGGGTATTGTTATTCTTCTGATGACGGTCATTCTGAGGGGCTTTCCCTTGAGGTTTGGCATTCTTGTTAAAGTTCTTCTTGTTGTCCTTCACAAGGTTAGCAGAATCACCCTGTGAGCTTTTCAACCTCTTCTCTTCTTGCACACATATTGCAATGAGCTTCTCAATATCCCATTTATCGGGCTGCATGTTGTAATTTACAACAAAAGTTTCATATTCTTTAGGCAAGGAAGCAAAAACCAAATGAATCAGAAACTCATCCTTGAGCCCCAAATCTATTGGCTTAAGCTTGGAAGCCGTGTTGCTCATCTTCAGTATGTGCTCTTTTATCCCTCCATCAGAGTATTTCTCATTGAATAATTTCTTTATCAGGGTACTGGCATAAGCCTTTGAAGAGTTAGTAAACTGACTCTCTATTTTCTTGAGATACTTTGTGGTGGTGTCACAATCTGGGATAGACCCCCTTATTGCATCTGAAATAGTGGACTTAGCCACCATCAAGCACTTGCGGTTCGAAATATCCTATTTCTTACGTTCGAGATCATATTTCATTCTTACTTCTGCATGATCTCGCCGCCGAGCAGTGAAATTAGCATCAGTTTTATTTTCTTCCCTCACCGGGTCCACTGACTCAGTAGGATACGGAGAGGTAAGCGCTAGGTCATTTTTGGACCGCGCAAGTGCTAATTCATACTTCTCTCGCTATACACGATAGTTGCCCCCTTCAAGAGGCGGTACGTGCGAGATAAATGCCATAGGGTTGAGTCCTGAAAAACACTATCAGAGATAGTGAGAAAATATGACCTAATAATTGCATGCCTTAATTTAACGTTGGTCAAAATTAAAACATACAACATATAACATTTTTCTACACTAATTCTATATCACCGTTGGGCAAAAATAGAATTAATGCATGGAAAACTCATGAAAAATAATAATATTATAATTTATGGAATAAAAAATAACTGCTCTTCAAATTAAATCCTCCCGCGGGTTAGAATTTAATTAGAAGATAATAAACGTTAAACTTTAAAGCGGAAACATGAAAAAAAAATTATCTACTTTTCAGAAGCATTTTACTGTACTCATCTACTCTCTGAAAAAATTATCTCGTTGGGTCAAATTTTGACAGAGATTTAACATCAAAACTTGACAAAGTTCATCAAAACTACTTCTGAAAAATAATAAAACTTAAAACAGGGAATTTACTCTACATTCAGGCCGACCCAGCAGGTGCTCGCGCGCGTCTCTATTCTCCGTGACCTAGTAGTTTTGCGCGCGGCCCAGTAGCGCTTGTGCATGCGCGCGCGACGCCTCCCTCGCGCCTAGGCCGCAACCTGGGCCTGGGCCGGGATTTGCCAATCCCGCCAGGGCCGAATCGAGCCCAAGCGATCTTAACAGTTCCTTGCCATCCGATGGTCTGGCGTTGATTTCGTGAGATCAAAACCGCTCGTGGCCGCCGTCTCCCAAACCCTAGGTCCATTTCGTCCCTCCCCTTTCACCCATCAGCACCGCAGCGAAACGGAGCGGCGCAGTAGCAGCCTCCTATGGCTACCGAAGGAGGTGGCGGCGCCGCCGCGGTCCCTTTCGCCAGCGCGCGTGCTCCCCGGATGGAGAGCGCGCCGCCGTCGAGCGGCCCCGCGTCGGCGCCCTGAGTCCGCGCCCACATGTTGGAATCTCGGTGGCGAGCGGCGGCTCGGCTACCCATGCGGCTTCAATGACGGCCGGCGGTAGTGTGCTCCGACGAGAGGACCAGATAGGCCCGCCGGATCTCGTCTTATCTAGGGTTAGGGTTCACATCTTTTAGAGAAAATTAGAATCCCCTCCTTCTACTTTCTCGTTCTATTCTACCCCAAGATCTTGATCTATACCCTAGTAAGGCGTCTGATACCATTGATAGAACTTAAGATCACTAGGAGTAGATCTAGCGGGTATAAACTTGCATTTAGGATATAGTAAACCCTAGAACATGAACTAAAACTGAGAGAGATAGAGAGAGAGAGGATGGGAGTGGGGAGGCGTTACCGACCATCGGCAGGCTTGGCAGAGAAGCTAGCCATGGTGTCGATGTAGGGCAGCAATGGAGTCCGACGGCGGTGTCGAAGGCGTTGTGGAGACGCGGTCGCAAAGGCGGCGATGAAGACGCGACGGTGGTGGCTTCCCGTCGCTGGCAGCACCCTCTCTAGATCGGCTTAGGGTTAGGATGTAGGTGGGGTTTGTGGCGACTCAGGTGAATCTCGTGCCTTGTGCCCACCTCCCTTTTATGGAGCTGTGCGACGAGGGCCCACCAACCATAGATAGGGTTGCCCCCCATCAAGGCGCGGATCAAGAGCCCAATTAGCCGTTGGGCCAAGTTGATAGAGATCAACCTAACAACTCCCTCTTTTGCATTGGGGCCTCATTAACGCTTGACCTGTCGAGAGCCATAGCAAGCTTGATTATATCGTATAGATGCTATCATATGAGCACTAAAATGCCGGATCGTGTGCCCATGGCTTGGGCGCATACACCCTGCATCCATGACTTCAGAGTTGCTCTTTTTCTTTTCTTTTTTGAGAGGACACTCTCTTCTCATTGTCTATAATATGTCCGTCTAGTACTTCATCTGTTCCAAATTATAAGACGTTTTGGCATTTTTGGATCCATAGCTTTTACTATGTATATCGCGACATAATATACATCTAGGTGCGTAGCAAAAACTATGAATCTAGAAATACCAAAACGTCTTATAATTTTGGACGGATCGAGTAGATCACTAGTAGAGGTTGGCTGTCTGAGGCCTTTGCACGATGGGCTTCTTTTCCAGTTCTGTTGGGCCGGACAGGGTACTAGGATATCAGGATGGCCCATTACAATTAATCGGCCCAAATTCTAACTGGTCCCCGGAATGGTCTCTTTGGGCTATAACTATACCCACACACATGTACCATGTCGCCGTTTTGTTCAGAGCCTTCTGTATTTTTTTTTTCTGTAGAAGGAAAACCGAATGGACATTTTCTGCTAGTAGTAGTATATGATGATGAACATATATAAATAATTGGTGCGAAATGATCATGCGAGATTTGCAAAGACTTGGCAGCTGCTGCACATATCTTGCATGATATGATAGACGGTGATGGAATGCATCCGTACCTTACAACACACTCAAGCATGGTGCCATTTGCTTACAAGCCATCCTGAGATCGAATGGCAGCATCTCCCTTGGCACCGCGCGTCTCCATGCGCAACCGGCCGAAAGCAAGCATGGCCGGCCGTCGCCGTCCTCTTCGTTCCTCAAGCCAAAGGCCAGGCCACCTGTGTGCTTCACTCAAAAGCATTGCAGGGAACTGGAGCACACGATTATGCGTGTGTCGATCAGTGTGGTGATCCAAATGCGACTGCGAGGAAATTCCAAACACAGAACATCTGTTTCATTGAGGATCAAGGGAACTAGTTAGCAGTGCTGTAAACCATGATGAGGTCCAAAAGGCAGATGGAGACTAGCTACTAGGTGTCGGTGTCTCGTTCATATAGACAGGAGGCAGACAGCTACAGGGGCTTCTTTGGGTGCCAAGGAACGCATTGTTTAGAAGCGATGCAAACCCAGCCGAAACCGTAGCAGAGGAGCCAAGTCACTTGGAACTCAAACCTTCACGCTCTTCCCTCCAAAAAGCCATTGGATATATAAATATGTGCTACATGATCACCACCACAGCTCACTAACCTTCACGCTCCTCCCTCCAAAAAGCCATTGGATATATAAATATGTGCTACATGATCACCACCTACAGCAGCACAGCTGCGCCCAGCTCCCAGCTCTCCTCTGATCAATTAGCAATGGCGTTCAACCCTAGCCCTCCAGTACTGGGCTTCCCCTACTTCCCTCCAAACCCTTACCTTCCAAGACCACCGCCGCAACCACGGCCACAAGCCCCGCCGCCGCCACAGCGGTTCCCACCACCGATCCGAGCCCCACCACCGCCACAGCGTGCCCCGCCGCCTCCTCAGCCTCCACCACCACGACGCGCTCCGCCACCGCCCACCCTACCACCACCACCTCCTCGTCAAGGCCCCCACCACCGGCTCTGCCACCCCCCGCCACCACGCCGTGCTCCGCCACCGCCCACAATGCCGCCACCGCCACCACGCCATGCTCCTCCGCCCCCACTCAGCCCCGCCGCCCACCTCGCCGTGCTCCCCACCACCGTCCCCCGCCTATTCGCCCACCGCCACCACCAACTCCTCGGCCTCAAGTGCCACCACCACCGCCCACCCGCCGCACCGCCCCGCCACATATCCATCCTCCGCCGGCGCCTGTGCCGCCTCCGCCTAGCCCTCCGCACCACATTGTCATCATCGTGGTGTTCGTCTCACTGAGCGGCCTGCTGCTGCTGGCATGCCTCGCCGCGCTCCTCTGCTGGCACAAGAAGAGGGGGAGGAAGACGGAGACCAAGGCTGAGGTGCTCAACTTCAGCGACCATGTCCATGTCCACAAGGATACCATGCCAGGTCCTGGGGGTGCCAACGTCGTCAGGCTGACAGTAGACGAGGACGTCAAGTTCCAAGAGGCGGTCAAGAAGCAGGACGCCATTGGCGAGTCCTCAAACACCGCAGCAGCTGGGAAGACAACAGCGCATCACCACCTCCCTTGGACCTGGCACAAGAAACATGAGAGCAGAGAAGAGAAGACAGAGGTCATCAACGTCACAAAGCACAAGCATGTCGACGAGGTCATACCTGGGCCGCATGGCGAAAAGATTGAGGTCCTTTCAGAAGATGAAGATATCAGATTTGAAGAGGCCGGCGAGAACGAAGATGAGTTTGAGAAATCCAAGGCACGCATAACCAAGTCCTAAGATGATATGATGCCATATCCATATAGTATCTGCCTACACTGAAGGCCCTTCAACTTGGGGCAATTACCATACCCATACACAAATACACATACTACCCTTGCATGCATTTGAGTATTTTTATAAGATTCTATGTTCTTTCATGTGAATGAAATAAGGGCGTACAGACCCATCTGATTGGATTCAATGTGTAATTATATGCCAGCATTTGTATATGAGCAGTTTGTGTGAAACAATTTCCTCAGTAGTTTCACTTAACCCCACTGTGTAAGATGACGGTTAGTGGCTGCATGTTGCATCATAACAAAGTGTGATCATACACATAGCCTTTCTGTTCACATTCTCCCCAATTGTGTCGAGCAAGAAGAGAATCTATGGGACTAGGGCAGAAGCTGAACAAGGCGGCACAAACAACTTTACAGGGTAGCCTAAACATAATATCCAGTACTTGTCATCACTACATAACACATCATAATCCTAACTGCTTCTGCTACTTAGTTGATTGCGATAGGAGTAATTCGCCTCTTAGCAGGCTTACTCGATGCGTTGTTCTTGGTCGGTACTGGTGGTGGTGTCACTTCAACAGCCATGGGAATGGTTGCCTCCTGGACTTTGTTATCATCGACATCTACTTCCATACTGTCTACTATTACCGGCTTCTTGTTTTCACAGGCCACATTTCCTTCAGCAAGCTCCCCTGTTCCTGAAATTTCAAGAGTTGGTTCTTGTTAGTGCCTTCAAGAAAATACATGGGAGTAGGGATGGCAAATAATATGGTCTGACATGGGCATGCATAGATAGTCGGTAAGAACGATTTCTTCCACATGATTGGAGCAAGGGCATCAGAGAGCCATTTGATTGGAAGGACTGTGTTACCGTATTGTAGATCAAATTTTAAGTGAGCAATTTATGTGAAAAAATTCAGACGAAATTTATCAAGATGTCTGTCAGTGAGGCCCTTTAGTAGTTGCCATGTTACTTATAACATTTGTTTTTGAATGAACGGACACATAAAAAGGGCGTACCCAGTGCAGAGAGCTCCCGCTCTGTGCGGGGTCTGGGGAAGGGTGTCAGTGGCAAGCCTTACCCTCGCCTGTGCAATGCGAGGAGACCGCGACTCGAACCCGGGACCTTCCGGTCACAGACGGTAAGACTCTACCGCTTGCACCAGGCACTGTCATGAACGGACACATGACAGTGCTTATTTCATTGATGATCATTAACACAGCAGTCCATATTAATGCTCCCATGTGTCATGAGTACAATCCAAATCTTTAGGTGTAGATCAGAAGGAGAATATAGGTAGACTGGATTTCTTTAAAGATCACCTATAAAAGTGAGATGCAATACTTGCAATAACAATATAAGATCTAACTGCTTCAGCTACCTACTTTACTGCAAATGCAGCAATTCATTTCTTATATTAGACTTACTCGTGATGTTCTCCGTTGGCAGCAGTGGTGCTCTGACTCCTACAGCCACAGGGCTGGCTTCCATCTTAAGCTTGCTGGCACTAATATCAACCTTCATGCAATCTGCGGATACAGGCTTCTTGGTCTCAGGTGTCAAATTCCCTTTAGCAATTTCCTTTGATCCTAGAGATTTATCCAAAATTGGGCCGTGTTAGAAGAGTGTCTTCCAGAAAATCACATCAGAAAGGGGGAAAAGGGACAATACAGTGTAAGGTTTGACATGCAGAACTACCAAACATATGCATCGCATCTTTAAAGATCATCCTACATATCAACAGATCACTTGTGAATCATTTTTATTAGTTTCATTACAGAATGTATGAGGTTTGATACAGAGAACTACAAAATGCAATGGATCTGCGGAGATGATCTTACATATCAATACATCACTTGCGTATTGTTCTTATTAGCTTCATGGAACCTAGAGATTTATAGACGAATGAAGCTCTATTGATCTCAGACAATTACATAAAGGTGATACATGTAACCTAGAGGTATGTCAGGTACGTCTGAAAGCAAGAAATGCAGGGTATTCCATCACATGCAGGGTATGACATTCCTCAAAAAAACATGCAGGGTATGGCTATGTGCCACAAGTCAACGAAAAACTGGAAAACAAAATATGCCATTTTCCTTTAAGAACAAAACAGGTTCAAGTGGTAAGATGAATATGATTTAGATGGCAAATGATATGGAGCCTTTCGGCAGGAGATGGTTAACAAGGATAATTCGAAAATCAGTATGTAAAATCTGTCCCAAACAAGTTTAGTACTCCCCCCGTTCCAAATTATAAACTGTTTTTGCTTTTCAAAGTACATAGCTTTTGCTATGCGCCTAGATATACGCTATGTCTAGATACATAGCAAAAGCTTGTATCTAGAAAAACCAAAATGACTTATAATTTGGAACGGAGGTAGTATCATTCTAGTCGCCCATTGCTAATTTTTATATTAATTACAGTTGGTCATTGTGATTGTCATACGATCCAGTATTGAATCCTAAAACTTCTGAGAAAATAACCATGATGTACACTGATGATGAATGGAATGTTCCAAGCAGGAATACAATTTTCAACATGCAAGTACGCAACAACCCACGAAGAAAATAAATAATGGTATGGAAAGATGAACGGAATGGAGAGATACCAGGGAGGATGTGAGGCTCTCCCAGTTCCTCATTCTCAAACTCTATTATAGTACAGTAGCCATCTCGTGATGACACTGCCAAGTACTTAGCATCAGAAGACCTGACACAAATAGATTGCAAAGATGAATTACTAGCACCAGTAGATATGCAAAGCTCGACTGGGAAGACTACAAAAGCAAAACTGTATAAGTACCCACCATGCAATATCGGTAATGGCAGCATAGTGTAGACCAGCATGGACTAGAATTGGAGGAACACTTTCTGTATCATAGACATACAGAGAGTTCAAAGTAGCAACAGCAAAAACAACTCTATAAGGAAGCTTGAAGAGACCATCTGCAAAATTTAAATGTGATTCAGATTCATTGTAAAAAGATAAGTAGAACTTTTGAGCAAAGCAAAGTTGCCATAAATTGAGCTACCTGGGTTAGAACCACGTGGTTTGAATAGCACAGGGCAGAAGCGTACTGCTACTATAGCTTTACTGGCCCCAGGGAGTTGTATTGCAGGCCTGCAGTGCCAAATACAGTCAGTAACCTAAAAGAGCAATGAAACTACATGTACAGTCAAAGTTATATGCTAGAGTATGTGCTTCGGTCCCAAAACACGGAATACATCATGATAACCTTATCTAAAACGCCAAATGTCTGTAATATGTAACATTCATCAGAAATTTAGCACATACACAATAGAAAGTAAGATTCAGCACCCTGTGGCAACTAAGCAATCAAATGTGATTACCTTCTAAAATTTAGGACTTCAAAGTTTTCACTTATAACTTATTTTAAGGTGCAGTAAATTAACCTTACATTGAAAAAAGAAATGTAGCAGAAACGATTCTCTGATGGTCCAAGTACCATATTATCTTATTTTAAGTATCAGTTGAAATGTTGAGTTTGACCAGATTAGTCCCTTTGTTTATATGTCAAGAACTGGAAAACACAGGGTTACTTCAAGTAATAGATCTGCTACCTTGAGAGGTCACGCCTGGACATTATATAAGCGGTATTAATCACTTCGGAAGAGTGTTTAGAAAGGCCTGATAAAGATAGAAAAAAAATTAGGGGGTTATGATGATAGAGAATTTGCTGAAAACAGACTAAATAACATGCAACCAGTGAACACAGTTTCAAGCTTAAGAAACGTGAGCTGAACTATCACTAACACTAATGCAAAAACAATATATACCTGCTGGCAATACTAGAAAAGATCCATCAGGTGACCATGCCAACCTCCGGAAGAAAGATGGTAGTGTCTCATCGTGAAACAAATGAGATTTAATCGGTGGCTGCAAGACAAAGGATCATATTCCTGCTCAGTTAAAACACAGTTTGCATTCAAATGCTGTAGCAATGAGGGCAGAGATAAACCCACCTTAGATTCATCATGATTCTGATATTCTACCTTCACTAGTGTATGCTGGCAAACAAAGTTCATCCTCTCCGCGTTCTTGGATTTGCCCTGAGGCTTATTTGCATATATTTTACAGGTTCTGTCAGAACTCAGTGAAGCAATATACTGGCCCAAAGGATCCCACGCCACACCCTGAACATAATGCAGATGTCCCTCCAACTTTTGGTGCACCGTGCCTGAGAAAATCATCAGATATCAATAACACAAGATAGGACAGAACTCATGCTGCTGCAAATAACATATTCCGTACTGTAGCGGGAGTCACCTTTACTAGCTTCCCAAATTATGCAAGTGTTGTCAACTGATGCAGAAACAAGGAATGTGCTGTCATGCGACCACTGGAGGTCAAGAACATCCTTGTGATGGAATCTGTGAATGAAATGAAACAAATTAGACCGTTACCATTTAGCAGGCTTCCAAAGAAGCAGGCCGGTTTGCGGAAAAAGAAGTTTCCGTTTCAGTAAGCAGAACTCACAGTAACGTCTTGTGAATTTTCCATGCCTCACCGTCGTCAGCGGAATGCAGTTTCCAGAGGATGATGCCGCCACCTGTACATCATGAAACACAACAATTCATCGCACGTGGACACACGAAACCATCTGATAATTGAGCGATAAATAAAGATAGCTTCACATTATGAATTCAATTGTTCCGGTGCAATGAATATTGGCTAAATCAATTCCATTTTATTATGATTAACAAAACTAATTCCATTTTAGATGATTAGCAAAAAACAATTTTAGGACGGTAGGCAAAACCAATTATGACTTGACATATAATCCTAGATAGATGCCAAATTGAGCGTACCGTCAGCACCAGAGGCGAGATACTCCCCTGCAGGAAACCAAGGCGGGAAAGAGTCAGTTACAAAAAAACTGGAAGAGACTTTATATATCTCTGTATGTATGGGCTCCAAGGGACAGAACAGGAAATCAGAAATGAGTGTACCTGAAGGGGAGAAGCGGAGCACGT